TCCCTGGAGCTGTGGGGTAAGAACCTCCCCAGCACCTCTTAGCAACTCTGACTGAGGACTGTTCACAATTTTTGGGCTTGGTCCCTTGAGAGAATGATTTTAATAGGTTTTTAGTTACGTATGTTTTAACACTTTTTGATCATTGTTCCAGCATTATTGCCCTAACTTCTCCCTGTGTATGTGCTTCCGGGGCATGTAGCTGAAGGACTTAGTGGTGTATTGTTGATTAAAACTCATAAAAAAGAGACAAGTTGGGAGGAGGAAAACCAGACGACAGAAAGTGTCTGGTGCCCAGGTATCTTCTATACCACCACTCTTTGTCTGAATGAAAGAGAGAGTTACTCCCAGAGGGTAAAGGACCCAGATAGGAGTGGACTTTAAGTTCTGAGAAAGGAATGTGACAAAAACAAATGTGTTAATATCCGGGAGAGTATAAAAACTCCAACTGTATGGGGAAAACCAAGGCTGCCTTCCAGATCTGTCAATAAAATATATGTTGATTCTCACCCTGTCTCTGCTACTGGCTGCAGTGATTGGTTGGTGGTTGACTTTCATCTGGTAACATTCTTACAAGGCCTGCCAGTCTTTACAGGAACCCCTCTCTCTCTGGCCTTGCCTCTAACCAACCAATCAACTGCTCCCTCCATGGCTGCCTTTTTCAGGAATTTACTAAGACTCTCTATGGCCTCAAGTCCAAATGACTGTTTGTCAACACTGCACTCCAAAGACTGGAGTTGGGGATAGCAGAGCGGATAGGAGTACAAGAAATGGGTCCCAATGCCAGTTCCCTGTATGACTGTCATCACTGACTTAATTCCCTTGAGCCCAAGTTCCCTTGTCCATAAAATGAGAATAAACACATTTGACAACATTAAGGATGTACTCAGTGGAAAGCAGCATAAACTGGTGGTTCTCGAAGGGTGGTTCCTGGATCACTGGCATCTCTTGGGCAACAGTTAGCAATGCAAATTATTGGTTCCATCTCTGCTCTACTGAGTCAGAAACTCTGCAGGTGGTGTCCAGCTATCTGTGTTTTAGCAAACTCTCTGGGAGATTCTGATTACATGCTAGAGTTTAAGAGCCACTGCTATAGACTGCTATAGACAACATAATGGGAGAACGTATATGGAACATGAACATCTAGCAAGGGATTAATATCTAAAATTTATAAGCGACTCCCTCAAGCCAACAAGAAAAAGGCAAGAAACCCAACAGAAAATGAGCAAGAGATGTAAACAGGCAATTCATAGGAGAGCAGCCCCAAATGTCAGGCAAGTATTATGAAGAGGTTGTGCATTGGGATTAACAGGAAAAGGCAAATAAAAACAATGAGATGCTGCCTTACACCCAAACAGGTCAGCAAAAATGATGTAAACCCTGATGGAGATGTGGGGAGGAGACAGGATCCTTCACATGTGGCTGGTGGAGCCATTCTGAGATTTTTAGTGTATGCACTGTAATCTAGTAATTCCACTCTTGGTTTTCGAGCCCAAAGAAATTTTCACATAGGCCATGTACAAAGGGTCATGTACAAAGATGCTCAGCAAAGTGCTACTGTTTGTTTTCAATAGAGAATTGCAACCTAAGTGTCCAATCTCTAGGGAACAGATAAATACAACATAGTGGAATATTTTGCAGCAGTTGAATGCAACAAACTAGATGTACCCACAGCAGCATGTATAGATGGAATAAAAAAAAAGGGAAGCAATGGAGATTCTTACATAGTATCATTTGTCTAGTATAAAAACATAAGGCACTGTGTATTTTATGTCCAAAGTAAGATCAACACATAAGATTCGGTGCCCATACTGGGGGGAGGCAGGGGTGAAAGGTTGTGGAAATTAATAACAAAACAACAGAAGGGTCTTACATGGAGTGATGGTGATGGGATGATCATGTCACATGGGATGAATATGAATGTTGGAACTCTCTAGACCTGAAGTCCTGATATTAATTACTTTAAATTGGTGACAATAGTGCCTGTGTGACAAGAGTACCATGGGTTTGCAAGTAAATTTCAGATCTTGGTGTGAGTCATGGTGGTGAAGTGGTTAAATCACTTGACAATGGAAAGTCCACTGTTCAAATCCACCAGCCGATCCATGGGAGAAAGATGTAGCAGTCTGCTTCTGTAAAAGATTACAGCCTTGGAGACCCCATGAGACAGTTCTAGGTTGCTCTACAGGATCACTGAGAGTCAGAATCTACGCTAGCTATAGCTCGTGCGCAATGGGTGGGGCCTGAGCCTGGGCTCTTCTCTCAGGCTGTGCTCCTTTTCATCTCTAAACCTTTACTGGGGCTGTACTCCCTTCCTGGGTAAGGTCCTTCATCTGATTTCTCTATCTTTCCAACCTCACCTTCAGATTGATTACCCCAGGCCCCTGCCACTGCTGTATGTGGGGTCTTGAATTTTTCTCATTTGGGACTTGAGCACAGATCCCAGCTGTGCGGCACTGTAGGATAAAGCAATGGACCACAAGGTCAGTTTGAACTGCAGGGTCGGTGGTTCAAACTCACCAGCTGCTCATCAGAAACCCTATATATAGGTCGCTATGAATCGGAACGTATTCTATCGCACTTTAGAAGTCCTGCTTCATCTTTTCTGAGGGTCTTCTTCACCTCATCCCCACCTCAGTTCCCATTACACACAAGCAAGACAGGTAAACCAAGTCAGAAAATATCAGATGTGGAAGAAAATACCATTTATTGAACACCTATCATGAGTCCTGGTGTGGCACTGTAGGATAAGCACTGACTACAAGGTCGGGCTGAGCCGCAAGTTGGGCAGTTCAAACTCCTCAGCTGCTCCTGGAAACCCTACATGGGGTTGCTATGGGTTGGACCCAACTCACTTGACAGCACTAACAACAACTCTAACGTTGCGTTTTAGACCTCACACTTTACTAATCGCCACAACCACCTAGGTAGTAGGCAGGACTGACCTCACTGGACAGATGACAAAGTGGCAGGCACAGAGGCTGGCTTCACATGCCCAAAGATGGGAGCAACTTGTCTCAAGGTCAGGATTGGAACCCGGATCACCCAACTCCGGTGGACATCAACAGAGGCAAACCTCTGTTCCACATTGCTAACCTAACGCCTGCCACTAGGGGGAGGAGACCCTGCCATTTAGAGCCTTAAATAGCCTTTCTGCTACTTAGCACAGTAGTGTGAGGACTATCTAAGGCGATTCCCTCAAATCCTCCTCAAAATCTTTTTCTCAATTGGGCGACCGAGTACTCTAGAGTCAGGGAGATATTTACCCAGTCGACCATCAGGTGAAACGCATTTCGCACACTTCCCCTTGGCCTCCAGAAAGCTGCAGAGTCACAGGAACAAAGCAGGCCCCTTGTTCTTGTCTGTACACAGAGGGGATTGCTTAGCCCTGGGCAATTAACCAGGACTTCAGGGTTCGGCTTCGTTCGCCCCCCGGAGGACATTTTTGGTACTGCAGGAAATGGAGCAGGAGGGGGCGGAAGGACCGCTTAGCAGAAGTATGGAGAGGAGTCCGTGTGGAAATAGGATGCCACAGGCGAAAGTGAGTGAGACTCAGAGGTTGGAGTGCGGGGACCTAACCTCCCTTCCATATTCTCCTCAGGGGTGACGGCTATAGGTAGTTGTCTTCAGCAGTGTCGCCCCCGTCCTGGGGCTCATCTTCCCCCTCGTCATCATCATCATCCGGGGCGAGTGCCTCGATGTCATGCGTAATGTCTGCCAGCAGCCGGTGAAAGGCCTGTGCTTCGGGTCGTTGAGCCGCGCCGTCGTATCTGCGCACCGCTGACGCCGATGTGGAGCTCATGCTGCGCTTGATGCGGCCGAAACTGTCGGTGAGGATGCCGCCCTGGCGGATGCCCACACCTTCCAGGAAGCCCTCAAAGTAGCCGATGTCCTGGTCCGGGATGAAGGGCCGCATCCCTACGGGTTGGTGATTCCTCAGCGTTCAGCCCCTTCCGCTCCCACAAAGGGATCACCCTCTCTGAGATCTGAGTTCAAATCTATACTCTGCCACTCTGCAAGTTCCTAAACGTCTCTGAGCCAGGGAATAATGCTGGACATAAAGAAAATCTCCATGGTACATGTTGGCTGTTGCTGCTTCTTACGCTATTTCTATTTATTAGCTGTATGCCCTTCATCAAATGACTGTTCTAAGCCTCACTTTCTTCACCTTTAAAATGTAGTAGCGTGTGAGGATTAAATAACAAGATACTTGGCATAAACTGAGTGTCCCATTTTACTTCCAGTTCTACTTACTAGCTTTGTGACTTTGTCACCTTACTTATTATCTGAGCCTCAGCTTCCTCATCTGTAAAATGGGGGTTAAATAACACTAGCTATATACTTCCTAAAATTGTTAGCATCCAGTAAAATGATGCCTGGCACAAAATAACTGCCAAATATGTTAATTTAGTAGTGTTATTTTTCTGTTATTATTGGCTTTCCTAACTGACGTGGCACTATAGGATAAGCACTGGACAGTGATCAAAAGGGTGGCGGTTCAAACCCGCCTGTACAGGGTCGCTATGAGTCGGAATTGACTCCATGGCATTTAACAACATCAGCTAAGTAAGGTGCCCTAGTAGCTCTGTAGGTTATACACTGGACTGCTAACCACAAGGTTGGCAGTTCAAACCCATGAACTGCTCAAGGGGAGAATGGTCTGTTCCCATAATGATTTATAGTGCAGGGTTGCTATGAGTTGGAATTTACTTGATGGTCGTGGATTTGGTTTTTTTGTTTACTAGCTATGTACCTGAAGCTCTCTGAACCTCAGTTTCCTCGTGGGTAAGCTGGGAGAACCATTCTTTCTCCCAGCTTTGTTGCAAAGATGAAATGGCTATCCCCATATACTGTTAACTCTACTTACTAGCTCCAGGACGGCAGGCAAGTCCCTTTCCCGCTCTGTACCTTGCTCTTATCTGCCCCAGGAAGCCTATGACCAGGGTCCGTGAATGGGCGAGGCTCACCCAGGAGGAGGAACTTGCGGCGGTCTCCATACAGGTTCAGCAGGCGGGCGCAGTAGTCCTGGATGGGCAGCCCCAGCCGGTATTCCCGCAGCAGCAGGGCAAACTGCTGGATCTCAGGAGGTCCCAGCTTACTCCTCAACTGTGGGGGAAGGGTGCCATTCAAGGTCAATCCCAAGAGCAAACCCCCACTGTCAGACACAGAGGTCCAACACTCCTCTAAAACCCTCTTCTAAGGCCTACCCAAGAGACTCAAACTTGGGCTGAAACTGCCTGAGTGCAAATCCTGGCACCTTCATCAGTCAGCTCTGTGATCTTGGGTAGATGACAAACTCCCTGACCTTTGGTTTCCTCATCTGCAAAGCAAGGACAAGGATGGAAACACCTCTCAAAGTTGTTTGAAGGATGAAAAGAGATGTGTGAAAGATGCTTAGGACAGTGCCTGCCATATGGCAAGCATTCAATTAAGCTGCCATTAAGTAAGGCCTTCTAGTGTTGCGCCGTAGGATAAGCACAGGACTGCATGGTTGGTTTGAACCACAAGGCCGCGGTTCAAACTCACCAGTCACTCCTCGGAAACCCTACTGGGTCACTATGAGTGAGAATCCACTTGACAGCACTTAACAACAACAATCATTAAGGCCTTGGACCACAAGCTGATCTCAATGTACTCTCCTAATTTCATCTCCTGACTGACCTCTGGGGTCTATACTTCAATGGTACCCAGGACTATTTACAATTCGTGTTTTTACTCCAGCCTCCAGGCCTTTGTCCGCGTTGTTTGTACTGCCCACCCCAGCTCACCGTAACCATGTAATCCTGCAGCTGCTCAAGGCCAAGGCCGCTGTGGTCACTGCTGCTGCAGTGAGAGCCATGGAAAGAGGTTGTGTCGCTGTAATATGCTTCAAAGTTGTCCTGGGAGTCATTACTGCAAGGACAGATGGAAAGGCGCCCTCATTTACCTTTCTCCAGCTCCTTCCCCTGGTGTAGGCTGAAGTGGGAGGGCTTAGCTACATGCTTGATACCTGAGGCCTCCTCCCTGATAGAATCTCTCATCCACGTGCATAATAAAATGGCTGCTTGCCGTGCTTTCGCTCTCCCTCCTGGAACCTCTCTTCCAACCTACGGGAACTTCCTCTCTCCCTTACCTGCCCAGTATCCCTAGTCAACCTATCACCTACCTCCACTAATCTCAATCCCGCCCTCGTCTTTAACCAGTATAAAAGTCCTTCCCCCCAGCAATACTCTCTCTCTCCTCCCGATCTCCAGTAAGCCTTACACGTGGGTGTTTGTGTTCCGGCTCATTCCATCTCACACTCCCAGACTCCATTTTGACCTTCACGGGCTCCATGACTGGTCTCAAGGCTGCTCACCTCTTCAGTCTCATTGTTCAGCAAGCTCATGCTTGCTCTTTATATTCCAGTTACACTGTCTTCTCCTTTTCCCTCTACTGTTCCTAGTGCCTTCTCACTACTGGGCTTTTGCACATGCTGTTCCCGCTGCCTGGAATGCTTAACTGGCTCAGTCAACTCTTACTCCTCACTCTTAAATATTACCTTCTCATAAAAGTTTTCCATGATCCCCAGACTAGGTCAGACTCTCAAATGTACTCACAAAGTCTTACTTGCAAGGCCCTTCCTCCACAACACTCTCAAATAGTCTCCACCCGCCTCGCCTGCCCACAAGCCATTGTGACCTCCAATATGCCAACTTTTCCCTACTTCATCACCTAGAATGCTTTCCCCCTTTTCATCCTCCAGGTACCATTTCAAATGTCACTGCCTCTACCCCTAGAGGAGGTGGGATTCCCTTTATCCCTTCTCACAGCACCTTCTTTTCAGTGCTCATTGCCATTAATGCTTACCACCATTTCATAGAGATTTCATTGCCTCCCATGCTAAACACCACAAGATCAGGAACCTTGGTTTTCTTCATTTGTACAGTACCAATTATGTGCCAGGCATAGTTCTTGCTCTCTCTCTTATTCCTTACTGTATCCCCAGGACTCAACACAGTGCCTGGGACATAGTAGGCACTCGAGAAATACTGTTTAATATATAAATCAACCTTGGGTTACTGTCTGCTGGTCTGTAAATTGTTCTAGAACTATCTTCCACTATGATCTACAGAGGAGCACTGTGGTTAAGGGTGTGGACTGGCGCCAGCCTGCATGAGTTCAAGCTCCAGGCCACCAACTTACTAGCTGTTTGATCTTGGGCAAACTATTTAACTTCTCTAATTCTTAGTTTCCCATCTGTAAAATGGGCTAATAAAAAATGGTGACTGTGTGAGAATGAGAGAAGTTATTATTTGCAAAGCATTTAGAGTCATGGACTATAAGCAATAAATAAATAGATCCCCTATCATGCTGCTGTGTTGATTTTTCAAAAACCAACTGTTGTAGAGAGGACAACTGGCACCCAGCAAGCTCAGTAAAATGAGCTGTTGTCCTTTATGATGATTCTTATATCTCTAGCAGATAACAAGGTTGTCCAAGGACTAGCTTGGGGGCACAAAAGGTCCCTGGATGGTGCAAACTGTTTCCCTGACTACTAACCGAAAGATTGGCAGTTTGCACTCACCAAGCAGTGCTGTGGAAGAAAGACTTAGCAACTTGCTTCTGTAAAGACTGCAGGCAAGAAAACTCTAACGTATGAGTTGGAATCAATTCGGCAGCAGTGAGGATTTTTTAGGGTGAGGGCAAATACTATTAGGAAGGCAAATCTATGGCCACTAAAATGAGAAAAAAGTTGTTGGACATTCATCACTGATAAAGACTATTTACCTCTCCAGATTCCTCAGTAACAGAACTAGGGTGGTAACCAACTGGTCCAGTCTTCCTAGTACTGTCCCAGTTTTAGCAAAGGCAAACCAAGATGGTTGCTCACCCCAAACAAGACTCTGGTCAATGTTCCAAACCAAAAGTTTAACAAATATATATATATTTCTCAGTTATGCTTGCCGCTAGTTGTGGCCACATGACCGACCAACTTCTGGCCAATGAGATGTAAGCAGAACTTATCTGATAGGAATTCCAGCAAAGCTCATTAAGAGGCATCTGACACTCCACCATGATGGCTGAAGCTATAACCACCTCTCAGTCCATGAGGTGACACTGAGGCTGGAAGCATGTCCGAAGGAGGATTGGGCAGGGAAAGAGAAGTCTGGTTCCCCGATGACCATGCAACCCTGAACAAACGACCTCCTAGTCAATTTTATGCAAGAGAAAGGGGGAGGAGGAAGCTCTATCTTCTTTGAGCTCTTCTTCCAGAGTTTTCTTTTGAATGGAGCCAAACTTAAAGTAAATCAGAATTATTTTTGATGTCAGCTATGATTTTGGTTTCTGTACACTAGTGTACCTTGCTGAACGAGAAACAGCAAATCCTGGTAGACCTACTTTGGGGTCTGGATTCTCTGGGGAGCTCAGTTAACCTCCTACATTAAGTGCCCAGTCTCTCAGCACACGCCAGGGCTGCGTCACTTCCTCCTACAGGAGGGTGTACGGTTGGGGAGATAATGCAGGGTAGGAGAGATAGTGTAGGGTTGGAGAGACAGTGTAGACTTGGAGAGATAATATAGGTTGGAGAGATAGTGTAGGGTTGGAGAGACAGTGCAGGGTTGGAGAGAGCACAGGATTGGAGAGATAGTGTGGGGTTCTAGAGATGGTGCAGGGTTGGAGAGAAAATGCAGGTTTGGAGAGATCATAGGGTTCAAGAGATAGTGTGGGGTTGGAGAGATAATGTAGGTTTGGAGAGCTAGTGTAGGGTTGCAGAGATAATGCCAGGTTGGACAGATAGTGTAGGGTTGGAGAGATAGTGCAGAGTTGGAGAGATAGTGTTGGATTGCAGAGATAATGTAGGGTTGGAGAGCTAGATATGTAGGCTTCGAGTAGATAGTGGAGGAGATAGTACAGGACTGGAAAGATAGGATAGTGTGGGGTTCTAGAGATAGTGCAGGGTTGAAGAGATAGTGGCATTCCCAAGAAGTGTGGTACCTACCAGGAGCTATAGTCACTTAAGTCAGCTTCATAGCCATATGTCCCCTCCGTGCGACAGCTGTCACCTGGAGCCAAGACAGAGGGGATGTCAGAGTCGACCAAGCAGGGACCAGCCACAGTTCCACCCTGAAATCTCATGCTGCTCCTCCATCAACACACAGCTGTCCTTATGCAACTCTCCTCCCTGTTCCTATTCCTTAATTTCTCCAAGGCTGGGACAATACTATCTTCCTGCCTACTGCCTAGGATATAGTAGGTTGAGGGACAGTTGAAGGAGTGTTTTGTAAATTGTGTATTTGAGGCAAGAGAAAAAAAAAAAGAACTTCGTGAGGTGGACGCAAACAAGACCATTTGCAGACAATTTGCTGTGTTCCTCTGTTATCTCACTTCATCTAGTTCTTTGTCACCCTCTTCAGGTCTCAGTCTGTGTCGCCCCCTGACTTCCCAGGCCAGGCCAGTTCCTCAATTATACCTGGCCACAGCACAGTGCATGGTTACCAACTTAGTTGTTTATAGTTCTGTAGTTATTGGTGACCTACCTCAGAGGATGCACGTTGTGTGAGCGAGCGTCAGGACTCTGCCTAGTTTTGCTCACCATTGTACCTAGTGATTTTGGAGCCCTGGGAGCATAGTGGATCATGAGTGGTTAACAAGGTTCATTGTTGTTAAGTGCTGTTTAGTTAGTTCTGACTCATGTTGTTGTTATTGTTAAGTGCCGTCGAGTCAGTTCCGACCCATAGCGACCCTGTACAGGGTTTCCGAGGGTGTAAATCTTTACGGGAGTAGAAAGCCTCATCTTTCTCCCGCGGAGCGGCTGGTAGTTTCGAACTGCTGACCTTAAGGTTCGCAGCCCGATAAAGCGTTTCTGAGGAGTGGCTGGTGAGTTTGAGCCACCAACCTTGCAGTTCAAACCACCCTTGCAGTTCAGTGCATTATCCTACAGTGCCACACCAGGACTCTGTAACCACAAGGTCAGCAGTTCGAAAGATGATGCTTTCTGCTCCCGTAAAGATTTACCGCCTCGGAAACCCTATAAGTGGTCACTCTGACTTGGCAAACAACTTGATCCTAGTGATGAACACTGGATGAACACTGGATCTGACACATCATGGGGGCATCAAGGTTTATCAGATGAATTTGTTGAAATATTTCTTGAGTCACTTCACTTGTGTGTCCATCATCCCTGTGAGAGTCAATGAACTACTCCCGTTTCCCAATATGCCCAGCTTCCACAGAGGGGGGGTCTTCTTCAGAAAAATCAGCCCTGTGGCCACACGGGGGTGCTGTGGCTGAGGGAATTCACTCGATAGCCTTAAAGGCTTGAGAGGGAGTGAAGTTGTTGCTGATAGAAGCTATTGAATCAGGCCTGAGTTTGAATTCTGGCTTTGCAATTTAGCAGTGGTGTGACCTTGGGCATGTTTATTGGCTACTTTGAACCTCAACACCCTCACCTGTAAAACTGGGATCATAAGGCTTCAGAGGTTTCTTTCATCGATTTAAAAATTACTGCCTGATCATCTGTGATGTATAGGTCCTGTGCTAGGCACAAGGGACACAGTGGTGACCAGGACAAATGAGGTTGCTGTGAGGATTAAATAAGACTTGGCACATTGGTACTGTGCTTGGCACATAGTTGGTGCTCAGTAAATGCCTCCATTAGTCACATTCTTCTTCCAGCTAAGGACCTAAGGACCATCTAAGGACCATCTGGAAATCTTGCTTTCACCAGAGTCTGAGTGGGACTGATGGCCCAGTAAGCAGACAGTGCATGTTCTTAGTTCTTTACAAAGCAGGGACACCACAAACAAAAGGGAGAAAGGAAAATTCAGCTCACTTGGATTTGGCAATGTGAGCATCTATGAAGAAGCTAGGGTTGAAGCACTGCAGTGAAGTCTGTGGTTTGGTACAAATGGTCAATGTGCTCAGCTGCTAATTGATAGGTTGGAGGTTCAAATCCACTCAGAGACTGGGATGGCAAGCTACATTTAAAAACCAGCATGACTCTCACATAATTCACAATAAAACATTTAACAACAACAACAACCTGGACATCATCCAACT